AAGAAATGAATGAAAAAATTCACTATAATTTAACATTAAACAAACTTTCTCCCTACTTAATGCTTTTCAACCAAATACTTGAAAGTTAAGGTGGTAACCCAAGAAATATAACAAAAATTGATTGGAAAAAGAGTATAGTTTCATTTTTACCACATAAATACATCATTAAAAAAAAAATAAGTTTTTGAACTTAAGAAATCTTTGCCTCAATCGCCCAAATAAAAAGCAAAGATGATCAAGTATTTGAAAAACAATTACTCAAAATATACCAGCCATTTTAACATGAAAATTAAAACATATATTAAATATAATAACAAAATTCATTTGAGAGAAAATAATTCAGAACAAAAGAATCTTTTAGAAATAGTATAATAAATAATTAATTAACACTAAAAATAGGCGAGCCAAGCTAGATTCTTAAGCCAAACAAAATGTTATTATTTAATAAATTCATATTGATTTTTTTCAAATTTTTTAACATAAACCGAGTATACTTTTTTTAAGCTCTTTAGATGCTTACGCTTTTTTATCACTTAGTTAACTTTTTTATCACTCACTTGATTTTTTTTCGCTCACTCGACTTTAACAGACTATGGTTCTATATTTAACAGACTTTAACAGACTATGGTTTATCTTGGTCACTCACTTAACTTTTTTTATTGTTCACTTGGTTTGTTATAATTGTCGCTTTACAACAAGAAAAGTTTAACTTTGGTAAAACAGACAAAACACCACTAGGTCCATCATTAAAATTCAATAAAGGGATCGTTCATAAATTATGCAACGCAAAATACATTTAAAAACAGAAGTAGAAGATACTAAGCCCTTTAACACGGCAATTTTCATTAAACTTTAAGGGGATACTTTGATTTTTTATTTAAATTAGGACTCTGCAAGAGAAAACTTTTGATCTTTTTTGCTTTGTTTATTGTGAAAGTTTGCGTTACGTAATTTATGGACGATCCGATAGTAGAACTAACTCAAATTTCTAGTGTTGATTGGTTCACAAAAATCATTTGGGGAGAGCATTTTCAAATTATTGAATTCTGCGCTTCGTTTGCATTTTGATTTTGACCATAAAGACATTTAAAAAGCGTCTGCTGCTAAATCCTGAAAATTTTTTCGTTATAATGATATATGTTCTTTGTATTTGGTTGTACCATGGAACTTATTTTTGTGATATTTTCACCAACTATTTTTATCTCGTGGGCACATTCATTGATCATATGTTGATATTCGTGATCATTAAATTTAGTGCAATTAAAAAGTATTATATAAATAACTTTTTAATTTTTCAATTTTTATTAGTTAGGTGATAAAAAAAATTACATAAGTTTTTAGGTGACGGTTATGATAAAACCGCACATTTGAGAAAAAAAATTTTATTATTGTTATTTTTAAAACAACTTGTATTTTATAAACTAAACTAAATATTTAAATTTTTACAACAAAAAAAAAATTAGTATCAACAACATATTTCTTTGGTAAACATGTTTCTTTACACAACGTTCCCGACGCATTGAGTAATATTTCTATGTGTAACTGTACTCTACACTTTTTACATTTTGCAACTTTTAATCGTTTGGCTGCAAGTGCTTCATTATTGTCTATTCAGTGTTTTTTATTAAGTATTGATTATTGCTTTGCTGTGGTTGCTCAGCATTATTTTGCTCAGGCATTTGAGTACTTGGCATAGAGAGCTTTACGTTAAGTTTACTCTTACAGCCAGGGCCGTTTTTGGAGCGTCGTAGGCTCTAGGCACTTTTCATAAAAATGTAGCAGTAGACCTTTCTTTCAATTTAAATGTCATGTACACGTTATTCAACTTACATTATTTTTTAATTTTTGTACGTAGTCGTTAATGGGCCTACAGTCGCTTTTTGTTTGATTATTCTGAATCTGTACATATGTTAAGCCTTAAAGAAATTAAATTGTATCCATTTCATTAATTGTATTTCTCTCGCTATCATTACTTTTGTTATGATCATGAAAAGCCATAAAAAATTCAGCAATCTATGGTTTGTTATTTGTTTTAAACGTTTGTTTAAACTTATCAATAGTTTACATTTATTTAAAAATGAAGTTCTCAGAATTCAACGTATTATTTTAAAAAGTATGATTTTATTTGGTAGGTATTTTATTTGTTATGATTACGTTTTTGTAAAATATTAATAAGTTTTGTTAAATGTAATGTTTTATGGAATATATTTAAATGTTTTCTCCCTCTTTAAATGGGTTAACATATTTTATTTTATTTTTATGTTTTATGTCTATTCTATATTAAATATTTATTATGATTTTCAGAAATTCAAGTCATGTCCGATGGCGATGGGTACAAGAGAAAGCACGAGTCTGGCTATATTAAACGGCAGAAAAAGCAAAGTAAAGAGGATGTATTAAAAAAAATGAAAGGTTCTTTGCTAAAATATGTTAATAAGTAGATGCTACTTCTGGCAATGACACTTCAATAAACTCTTTCATTTCTTCAACAAGTCCAGGAATATTAATACCTGAGCCAGAACCAATGCTGACTGACACTGTGGAACAATGCGGTTGTGCAATGAGTTTTACAAGTGAACCAGTTATTCAAGCAGATGCGGAACCAACAGTAGCAGATTTAGAATTGGGAATAAGGAATAGTAAGGAATCTATTTAAAATGATCCTGCTGAATGGGAAATAAATGCTGATCTCATAGCTTAAACATTTAGACTACTTTGAAACTGCGTTTATGTGATTTGGAAAGTTTAACTTCAAAAGATTAATATTCTCAATAAAGCCAGGAGCCTGGTATTGAGCTTACAGGAGCCTGGTATTGAGCTGTGCACCATCATTAAACTGTACGATAGTCTCATACAGTACTTTCATGATACACGCAGTAAGTTTGAAACATTCGAAGGCCAGGCAAAAGATCTCACAGAATCTGATTACAAAGAAGCTGCACAACGCAAGCGAATACGGAAGCGATTTGATGACGAAGTTATGGATACAAGTAATCCCAGTTTAAATGTTAGTGCAAGTGATAATTTCCGTATTAAACAGTATTACGTTATCATAGACAGACTTAATAATGAGATGGAAAAACGCAGAGCAGCTTATAAAGTATTGTACGAAAGGTTTAACTTTCTTCTTGACAACAGATCTTTGTCGAGTGAGGAAGTAGTTGCTAAAACCAAGGCACTAATTCAGTTGTATTCATCAGACCTCGAAGACGAATTTACCGATGAGTTTTTGCTGTTTTCTCAAATGTTTAGTGATGGTAAATCGGTGTCAGATAAGATTAAGCTGCAAATAGACAATAAACTAGTTGCAAGTTTTCCAAATGTTAACATCGCTTTCAGGATTTATCTCTCTATATTAGGCACGAATTCAGAAGGTGAACGTTCTTTTTCAAAATTAAAACTGATAAAAAACTGCGTTCAACTATGGGACAAGCCCGACTATCCTCCCTGGCACTGCTATCAATTGAAAATAAAGTAATGCGGGAGATGACATTTGAAGATGTAATAGTTAATTTTGCAAATACCAAAAGTCGAAAAGTTAATGTCATCTAATTATGCTGTTTGATTATAAACATCTTTATCAATTATGAATATTATGCTGCATCTGTATGATTGTTTTATTAATGAAATGAAAAACACTTTAAAATTTCTTTTTTTTTCATAACTTTTGTAGGCCCCTTTTGATTCGTAGGCTCTAGGCACAGTGCCTATAGTGCCTAATGAATAAGATGGTCCTGTATATATATATATATATATATATATATATATATATATATATATATATATATATATATATATATATATATATATATATATATATATATATTAAAATAATTTAAATAAAAAAAATACAACTTTATAATGGAACTAAAAGTTTTATGCCATTCGGCAATCATCAGCCATATTATTCAAATAAAAAATAAAAACCGTTATTTATTAAAATACAAATTTAGCGTTGCAACGGCATCTGACGTCAATTATACGTGATCCGATATTTGACCCTATAATATTTCTTTTTCGTTTATTAGTAATAGAAGAATTTAGATTTGAATGATATTGGAGAATGGTGTGAAATCCAGACTTTTCTAATGCGTCATTATAAATTAGAGCAGTCTTTTGGAATATTTCTTCGCTTGAAGAATTGGAAGATAACCTATGTCCAATTGAGATTGGTAATTGTTTTAAAATGCTTGGTGGATGGTTGGAATTAGCATGGATATAATTTAACGTACTATCAGGTTTATGGTAAAATTGAAAAGTGTTGTTTTTAAGATTAAATGTAACATCAAGGTAATTAATAATTTTCATATTTTACAAAATAATATATATATATATATATATATATATATATATATATATATATATATATATATATATATATATATATATATATATATATATATATATATATATATATATATATATATATATATATATATATATATATATATATATTATTTTGTGAAGCCTGAATCGCAAGGGAGTGATGCTACATCGACTGACAAATAGCCTGGCTCGCAAGGAAGTGCTACTACAACGACTGACAAATAGCCTGACTCGCAAGGGAGTGCTGCTACATCGACTGAGGGTTTGGTTTGGGCAGGCAGTCTATCATTTAAAAAAAAAAAAATTTAAGTTTTTAAACTTTCTCTGGTCTGGTTTATTAACGCGCTCTTTAAAACTACAGTTTATGGGAAACTCTTTCTGACTACCATGCAAGAGTATATATATATATATATATATATATATATATATATATATATATATATATATATATATATATATATATATATATATATATATATATATATATATATATATATATATATATATATATATATATATATATATATATATATATATATATATATATATATATATATATATATATATATATATATATATACTTTCTACTTTTCCTGCTTCCCTGCGTAGAAATATTGCAAAATTTACGTCCATAACATTAAAAGTATTGTGTACATTAGACACCCTGATGTGTTCACCTTATTGCGCACGCGTCAAAAAACTAATAACTGGAATAAACGATAAGGTTAATAAGGTTATTAGGTTCGCTTCAGATCTCTAAAATGTCGGTTGGGCAAGCTCTATTCAAAGTCAATCCATTGGTTAACAGTTTAAATTTTAAACGTTTTGCTAGTGGAACTGGAAGAAAAGCTATGGTAAATAGTTGTACTGTTTTGAATATTAAATTCATCATTAAGTTAAAATATGTAAAAAATAAGTTTAAGAAAGTAAAGATAAATCACCATGTTTGGTTTTCATTATACATACAAATTTGTAATCATGAAATGTAAGTGTTTGTGTGTGCCTTTGTGTAGAGAATGTATGTGCAGTTTTTACTCTCCTTATTTTATATCTGGTTATGTTTAAGAACTTTATGCTGATTAAGAACTAGAAAAATACTTTTAAGTTTAAGTTTAAAAAATTATTCATACTTTAATTCATATTCTGGTTTTAATTATGATTCCTAGAACTATTTTAAATTTTCTTTCTAAATATATTTAATTAATCAAAGTTTTTAGAATCTGTGTAAAGTAATTTTTTTGAATTACAAAAAGTGAAATGCCTTCAGCTGTCTTTTAAGAGTTGTGACATCCATGTGCTGCATATATTCTTTGAATATGCATTAAAATTGATTTAAATAATCAACAGCAAGTTAAATACTTTGTTAGTTTGGTGCAAAAAATTACATAGACATTCCCAAAAATATTTAGTAAAAATCTGCATTGAATATTGCATAGTTGTTGGTTGTTATTCAACCAAATTATTGTTTAGAATGAGTAAGCTTAATTGATGTAAATGTAATCTGTTTTTGTCATTCACTACTAATAATGCTAAAATCATGATTTGGACACATCTTATTCTTACCACCATCATACTCTTTAAGTGTTGAAGAATGTGAATTTAGGCTTGTCTAGTAAATACATCAGGGGAATAGAAAAAGCAAAAATTAAACACAATGTGAATTCTGCAAAATAACAATACAAAAATTGTTTTGTGATTGTCATAGAGCAAAACATATGTAAATAATCTGATGGTGCTATGTCAGGGCTATAGTGTGGATGTGATATCAGTTTCCATTATAGCCCTGTTCATTTTTGTCAGGTTATCAAAGAGGTTTGGCAAGCTTTCCCAGAAAGCGTGTGCAGTAACATGCCACATTTAAAGTTTTTTTTTAGACAACCTGACCATAAAGTAAATGTTTTAAGAATTTTGCGTAAAAAAAAAGCAAATAGAAACTACAGAGAATAAAACAGCAATACCTGAAGAAAGGAAACAAATTATATACAAATTAAAAAATCTAAATAAAAAAAACTAAAAAAAAATTGAAAATTAAAAAAAAAAAAAATTAAACTAAAAAAAAATTGAAAATTAAAAAAAAAAAAATTGAACTAAAAAAAAATTAAAAATTAAAAAAAATTTTGTCAAAAAAAAAAAAAAAACCCTAAATATTTTACTGTTTTTTTTTCTTTTTTTTACAAAAGTTAATACGAAAAGAGAAAAAAATAAGATAAGAAACAAAGATAAAAACATTTTTTGATATACAATTTATTCGCGACTTTTGTCAGTCAGTATATTAAGGAAACTACTTTGTTTGCGCTAGAAATACAGACAATATTGAAATTCCTTTTTCAAATGCTTTTGCTATACTTTATTGTTTTTATTAATGCACAGAAAACTAATTGTCATTTATTTAAAAAAAAAAAAATTTTTAGCAAGTTTTTTATGTGAAAAAATAATGTCATTGCTACTAATATTCATAAAATATAAGATTTGATTGTTTTCATTACTCCCATTGAGTTTCTATAATAAGTTCAACTGTTAAGAGAGAAAATAATAAGCGTGGTATATACTCTACATTGTATGACCCTAGATTTTTTTTAATGAACATCACATAAACTTAAAAATGTTAGAGTTGCAACGAAGAAACAAAATTATTTTTAGCAATCCTCATAAAGTATATATTAAAGCCAACATAAAATGTCCTTGGTCAAAGAGAAATTAAACACCAAAAGAGTTAGTACTAGACAATTCTTTTTATGTGGAAATAAAAAATGACAAACCAGTCTTGCAAAAAAAACATGAAAATGGATATTACACTCAAATACAAATGGCTCTAGGCATATTACAAGTAACATTTTTTGATTTTAATGTTTAAACATTCAAAGGATGCATTAGTATTCGAATTCCTTTTGATAAAATGTACTTTAAAGATGTTGTAAATAAACTAAACTTATTTTATATCAAAAATATTTTACAAGCTATTAAACTTAAGACTAATAAAATTGAACAATAAATTATATGACAAACAAAATATCTAAATAATATATGTCATACCTAGTATTTTTACACATTGGACACAGCAGTATTGACCCCTACCACCACTTTCCAGCTGTTTAGGATGAGTTTTAGTTAAACCAATTAAGTTAACAACAATAAACAAACATAAAAAGCATCATGTTCCAAAGCAAAAAACATTTTTGTAGCAAATAAAAAACAAAAAAAGTTAAAATGTTTTATTTTGAAATTATATATTTTGTCGTGTTTGGCCTCAATTTTAGATAGCCGTAACATTACATCATTAGAATTGGTGGTGTCTATTGAAAAGTTAAAAGATGCAAACTGTTGTGGTCAGTGTGTCTAATAAAATTACTTTAAACGTGGACGAACAAGGCGTGCGACCGCACGTGTCTCCTGGGAAGGCTTGTTTGGAGTCTATCACGCCTTTAATTTAATTTCGATACTCTTGAGTCCTTAATACAAGGAGTGAAGGGGGGGTTCAGTCCAGATATAATAAATGAAGGGGGTTCATGTTGCAATATAAGTATTTTTTATAAAAAAGTTTTGTTTATAAATCCAAACTATTATTTTTTACAAAACATGCATAAAACTATTTAATTCTAGTGTGGCTTGCGGTTAAATGCGTATTTTCTAACAGCTGTTTGATCATAATTTCAATAGGATTTAATATGATGGTATAAGTTTTATAATTTGCTGAGAAATAAACCAAAAGCTTTCACTGAATTTTTTTTTTAGTTATGAGATATTTTTTAAATTTTTGGGTCCAGTATGACTTGGTTTGAAAATAACTAAAAAATCATTAGTTTTGTTTAAGACCACCTTGGATCATGTTTGATTGCATATAAAGTAATATCAAAACTCCAATAAAGCTCTAGTACTTTTGAGAACTATATATTAATATATGGTTCTCAAAAGAACTAGAATTTTATTGGAGTTTTAATATTATTTTATATTAAGGATATTAAATTATTTGAGGTATTTGATTTTCAAATTTGATTTATGTTATAAAATTTTATTATAAAATTTTAATCTCTTGATTGGTAGACATTATGTGTAGCTATTTATCTTGTTTTTGTATGCTAAATGTATGACCATAAGTTTTTGTATGCTAAATTTATGATCATAAATTTTTGTGTTAGATGCTTTTTTGATTGTCAATACTTTGCATTTGTTACCATTGAACTCAATTTTCAAGAACAGCCAATGTATCAAGATCTGCTTGTAGTTGTTTAATGTTTAATTGGTTTTTCATAGTATTTATTAATTTGCTATCATTACAAATAAATATATATTTATGTCGTAGTGTTGTAGTGGCAGAGCTATTGCCTCATAAGCGAGATGTTCCAAGTTTGATCCCCACCATGTCCCTGGTAGTACCATGCTCAACGTGTTTCTCTGCCCAGCGACCTTGTTCGTCAAGGTTCATGTTTTGGAGTTATAGTGTTAAAAGAGGGTTGTAACAACAACTAAAGTAGCTTCTTCAACTGTAGTGGCCATCTCAGCCTTGGAGAGGTGAATTAACAAGGTGGGTGGGAATTTTTGTCCAAATCTATTAAGGGGGAAGGGGAGGGCGTTAATAAAAGGATGGGTGAAAATTACTTTTTTTTATTACTTTTTATTGGTGAGTTGATGTTTACAAATCTTCAAGGCCAGTTTACATTGAAATTATTTTTTTAGTTTTGAGATAAAGTTTCTTTGTTGATAACAAAATTAATAAACAAGGTTGGAGTCTTAATCAGCTCAGGGTGATTTAGGTAGATTTTCTAAAAATTAATAAATGTCCCTTCCCGTATGTTAAGCATATTAGAGTATATATAAAATGTATATTAACTAAAAAACTTTTGCAGTTTGTGCACACTCAAGTGTATATGTTACCATGTCCACACATTTCACAACAGCATTGGTTATTAAAATATTACTTTATATTTCACTTAAACTGAATGATTTATATGTATTTGTATCTATCTTTTTAGTCGACTTCTTACCGGATTTTTGCCGTAGCTGTAATCGGTACTGCTTTACTTGGACTTCCTACACTTCTAATGATAACTCGACCCAAGCCGAAGGAGTAACCAATGAATTTTCTCTTTTTGGATTTTATAAAGACTGAAAGAAGTTATGATATTAAAATAATCATTAAAAAAAATTTTGTAGTTTTATTATAATGGTAAACTTATTCTCTAAAAAGTCGCAACATTCCCAGAATTTATTTTTAAATATTATCGAAGGAATTCATAATTTAAATATATACCGCTGGATAAAAATTTGACCATCTACGATTTTTTTTCATTTAGTATAACTAGTCCAGTCGAATTAGATTATTTTCAGGAAAAAATTTGTATAAAGCTGAAACATTGCTTAGTGATTCTAAGGGTATTCAGGTCGGGTATAAAAAAATGCTTGTGATTCGATTCACAACAGGAAGACCCCGTTTTCATAATGACGCATGCGCAAAAAAGTACAAAAAAAAAAGTATTTAAATATAGTCATGATAAAAAGCCGAATTCTAAAACGCCGAAATGGCGTATTAGTAGACCTGCGGTAACCGTAAAAAAAAACGACGAAAAGTTAAGTATCCCCCGGATATTTTATTGCGCATTTGCAAATGCGAAAGTGTAAAGGGACAGAAGAAAAAGCCAAAATTGGCTTTTGCTTCTGTCCTTTTAAACTTTTGCGAATAATAACGGAAAAAGAGACGAAATAAAAAGTAATGTTTATAAAATTATTTTTAAATTTGTTTGCTATTTTTATATTTAGCAGTAGTATCGAGAGGATTTGCGTTAAAATTTTAAACTAATTTAAATTTAGAAAATTTTAATTAGAACTATTGATAATGACCTCGGTGAACCATCAAGCAAGCGAATTTTCAGATAAATAACTATGTTGAGAAAAAAACCTTTGTTGCTATGTAAGAGAACCAACTGGTACAATACAACAATTTTAAGCAAACCTTGTCTACAAGCAGAGAGTATATTTTGTGATAGAGAGCATCTCTTGTGATATCAATTCTTGTTACACGATAATATTCTATGTGGGCCTCAAACTCATGTGAAAATGAATCTTTGCATACTGAGCAACATTGACGCTAGATATCTTTGAAGACCAATAACTAACATCTTTTACAAATATTTTTAAAGCTATTGTGGGCAATGTTAAACAGACCAAAACATTTTAAAACATTGCAAATGACAGAACAAAATGTAGCTGATGGATTTTTTAGTCTCACTTCAAGATTTTTGAAAGAGTTTTTATATATCCTTGTTTTCTCTCTTCAACTTGAATCAAATCAAATTGAAGAGAGAAAAGTAACATTTAAGTTTCAAAGTACGCGGGGGTTAATTAATGAATCATCTCTGCAGTATTTACTTAAAAATAATTACTCAAAGATTAGTTACCTTAAGTACGCTCAAAGACTTTAGAACTGCAAATTTGACAGCAAACATTTGTAGAAAATTAAGGTGGCTTTTTGTTAGAATTCATTTATGTGTTAGAATCTAATGAAAAAAATGTTTTTCTATTGGTAAAGTATCAAAGAAAAAATTTTGAGTTTAGTAAAAAAGAATGTATTTGGAATGCTGTTTTTTTTCTAATATGAGCAGTAGCGGTTAAAGTCAACAGGGTTAACCCTGTTGACTTGACTGCGCTACGTTCAAAATTTGAGCTGAGTGACCCTTTCTTGTAAGTTGCCAGTGATTTAAAAGTTTTCTTTAGTAGTTAAGTTTCTCCAAAAAGCCGTAAAGTTCTTATCACAGAACACAGCGGAGGAGTATTTATCTAGAAAGTTTTCTTTCCTTCCAATGACAGTTATTGGGCTAAAGCCGGCATTAAACCTCTTCGTTCTGATTTATAATTCTTATCACTGCGCCACGATTGCTGTTTATTAAAAGCAACGTTAAAATTTTTTTAAGAGAAAATTCCTTGCTCAATTAACCTAAAATAAGCAAGAGTTATACTGCCACATCAGGGATTACTAAAACCATACATTTATTTTTATGTAGTCACTTATTTTATGTAGTAGTGAGGACAGGATCGACGAAAAAAAAAAAATCAATGAAGTTATTAAACAATAATATAATAATCCATAAATATATTTAAACTCTATCATTTATAAAAAATATAAAATGCGAATTAAAAAAATATTGGTTGCACATTCATATTATATTAGAGAGACAATAAATTTTACAAAATAATATTTAACAAAAACGAATGAACTGCAAAAGAGTAAGAAAACCCAATTTACTATGCGAAACATAATTTTTAATTTTGGAACAAAGAGACTGACATCGTTACGTTAACTATGCACGAAATATAATACACAACCAGCCATATAATAAAGGTCAGCATTCATCTGATCATTAAAAAACTAATTGTCTTTTATTAATTATCACATATACAAATAATTATGATCGACCTGATGAAAGATCGACCATCTTTCATCAGGTCGATCGTGATCTCAATTTATGCTAGAGCAATGACATGTTTCTTCAACGAAGTTTAAAAAATAGTTTTAATCGTTGAAGACTAAAACTGTTTTTTATTATTTAATAAATTAAATTGAATCAAAAGTGATTGAGTTTGTAAAAATTGTGAAAACAGCAATTGTCAAACAAAAATTACTGACAATTTTATGCCTATAAAGTAACACTTCAGAATAAAGTAGTAAAAATTATTCTTAAATAACGTTTTTATTTCACTTATCCACAGTAAATTAATTTTCCAAACATTTTGAAGATGGCATGAAGAAAGTACTGGTAATCTTCTGAAAGTTAATTTTATTATTAATTCTTGTAGTATGTTGACTAAATCCAGATTAGTTTGTGTGTAAGTAGTTTAATGTCTAAATTCCTTGCCCCCTCTCACAACTTCAAAGTTACATCAGCATAGACTAAAATACATTAAAAAAAAATCTATTTTTTTAAATCTATCAACAAAAAAAACCTTATAGGATGTTTACCTAAAACTTTGGTTAATGAGACTATTATATTATATTATATTATTATATTGTATATATATATATATATTTCGTCAATAAACAATCATTTTACAATGTTTTTTGCAAAAATTAAAAATTAAATATTTATATTCTGACAGGAGCAAGCAGAAGACAATGTGTCTTATCACCCTGCTCCTAAGTTCGTGAAAATATCAATAAAGTTTTACGTATTAGCTTCTTAAAATATACGTTGTATAAGTTTTATAAATATTGCAAGTTTTGTACATAATACAACACATCACAGTTCACAAAATATACATAGGCCACAAGCATATATACGTGTTAACAAATCAATATATAAATGTTTTTTTAAAAATACAAAAGAATGTTTTTATTATTTATCTAATAAGTATAATTTAACGGCTCATTTAAATAGTTTAATTGAAGTCATGTTTTTCATGTCTCTATTCAGGAAATAGTTCCACAAACGTGGTCCTCGACATGTTATTGAGAAGTCTGTTTTTCTAAGGGATGTTGTAGGTATGAGAAAATTGCTAATGGAATATCTTGTAGAGTATTTGTGATTAATTAAGGCGAAATGAGGCTGAAAATATGTTGGAAGCATGTTGTTATAAATTTTAAACATAAATAACAGATTTTGATAGATGTTTAGTTTATAAATATTTAAAACATTAATTTTTTTAAGTAAAGGCTCGGCGCATGCATATCTACCTGCATTCAAAATTAACCGGCTCGCTTGTTTTTGTTTGGTATTAATTTTTTTTAAAGAGGATGAATAATTACTTGCCCACGCTATATTGCAATAACTAATGTGACTATGAATAAATGAAAAATACAAGCTTTTTAAGCACATTATATTCAAAAGGTGCTTCGTTTTGAAAAGGATCCCAAGAGCTTTTGAAACGTTGTTTTCCACAAATTGGATATGATTTTTCCAGTTTAAATGATCGTCAAATATTATACCTAGGATTTTCATTGAATGAACTCTTTTTACTGTAATGTTGTTTATAAATAAATCAGGAAGTTTCAGGGGTATGTTATCAGTTTTCGAAGGTTTTGTGAACAGAATGTATTTAGTTTTATCAATGTTTACGGACAGTTTATTGGCTTTAAACCATTCATTGAGATTAATTAGCTCTGTGTTTACAGTAGAAAAAACAAATTTTAAATTAGACCCCGAAAAGAAAATATTAGTATCATCAGCAAAAAGAACAAAATTAAGGAATTTAGAGGATAAGTGGATGTCATAAATATATAAGAGAAACAACAGAGGACCAAGTATTGAGCCCTGAGGGACACCACAACTAATAACTTCTAACTGCGTATAAGTTAAATCATACGTCACACATTGTTTACGATTTTGTAAATAAGACTCGAGCCATTTTATATTAGTATTTTGAATTCCATAATTTTTTAATTTATAGAGAAGGATTTCGTGGTCGACAGTGTCGAACGCCTTCGACAAATCAACAAAAACTCCAAGTGTATAATTATTACCATCAAATCCTTTCAAAATATTGCTAGCCAAATCCATCACAGCATGCTCAGTGCAATGATTTCTCCGAAATCCAAACTGTTTAGGATATAAAATATTATTTTTATCGATGAAGTTATATATTCTATTATACATTATACGTTCAAGTACCTTTGAAAAACAGGAAAGAATTGAGATGGGTCTGTAGTTTGATTCTAAAGAATCGTCACCGTTTTTATAAATTGGAATTATTTTAGCAAGTTTTAATTGATCAGGAAAGTCCCCGTTTTTTAATGAAAGTTTAAAAATAATGAAAAGAGGCAATTCGATAATATCAAAGACACTTTTCAAAACATTTGTATTAATTTCATCAAGACCTGCACTTTTATTTTTCTGAAGCATGTCAAAAGCTGAACGAAATTCTTCAATGGAAAGTTCCGAATTGTCCATAATAAAATCTGATTTTTTCATAAAAGACTGGAATGTTTTGCTACTTGGAGAAATTTCTTTGGCTAAGTTTTTCCCAACATTTATAAAAAAATTATTCAGTCTCTCAGCAATTGTTTTTTTATTAAAAATTTCACCTTTATCAGTTTTCAGTCGATTAGGGAAGTTGCTAGATGTAATTTTTGTTTTCCCTGTTATTTCTTTTATTATAGTCCAAGTTTTTTTAGCGTTTCCAAATGATTTCTGAAGTAGTCCAGAATAGAAGTTTTTTTTTGATTGCTTTTTTATTTTTTCAAAATAGTTTTTGTATTTTTTATATTTAGTTTCGTTTTCATAGTTTTTGTTTTTTAAATATTTTTCGTAAAGCTTTTTTTTTTTTTTTGATGATC